CTTTGAATTTAGATTGATGCACTAAGGCTATTCATATTTGTAACCTAAATGCTCGGGATGTCCAGCCCAACTCAATAAAATTTTGCCCATTTCATCCAAAAAAAAAAGGTAGCCCAAAAAGATTTAAGCATGTTGGGGCCAAGTTAGAGTTGAGGCAGCGTGGGGCTACTGGCAAGGTATGTTGCCTTATCCATTTGGCCTTGCCTGAATAATGTATTTGCATGCGTGTGTGTGTGATAGGAAAAATATCACCAAAAGACTATTGGAAGTGTTTTATATCAAAAAAGAATTTTAAGATTATGATTTTTCATTGTACCCCCTTACTCCTTAGTTGAAAATAAGTTTTTATTACAAATGACTGAATTACCCTAAAGTTTAAAATAATAAGTATTTATCCTACATAAGCAATAAGTCATTTAGGTTTTGACAACAATCAATTCATAATTAATAACAACACATTTAAGATTTAACAAGATTGAAGAACTAGCAGCACAAGTTTAATGGAAGAAGTGTTTATCTTGTATAAATAACAAGCTATTTGAATTTTGACGAAACTAATTCGTGGTTGACAATAATACATTTGGAATTTGACAAGATTCAAAAAATTGATAGCACAATTTAATTGAACAAGTACTCACCCCATATAAACAACAAGTCATTTGGGTTTTAACAACAACAAATTCATGATTAACAACAATACATTTAAAATTTACTAAGATTGAAAATTGGCAGCACAGATTTAATGGAACAAATGTTCACCTTATATAAACAACAAGCTATTCAAGTTTTGGCAACTGTCAATTCATAATTGACAATATCACATTCAAATTTTAAAAGAATTGAAAGCTTAACAACACGAGTTTAATGGAACAAATGTTCATCCTACATAAACAACAAGCAATTCAAGTTTGGAGAACAACACATTCAGATGTTAACAATTAATTCTTGTTTAGTTGTTTCTCTTTCATTAAGAGGGGCAATTAAGTCATTTTCCATAAAAAATTATTTTTAGCAAAGGACTAAGGGGGTGTAGTGAAAAATCAAAATCTAAAGTCCTTCTTTGATATAAAATACCTTTGGTGGTCCTCAATTGATTTTTTTCCTATATGATATCCTTATTTTTTATATATCAAAGATCAATGTTAAAATGTTCATTTAGTCAATGAGATGAAGGAGGACTTCTAAAAAAATTCAAATAATATTGGACTCCTCTCATTGAAATTGTGGTTTTATTAAAAAAAAGTATATATATAAATTCACCTTCATTAAAGTTCATATTGATATTTTTGTTATATTTAAGTCTTCATGATGTTTCTTTCTTTCTTTCTTTTTACAAGTAAATTTCTTTTTTTTTTCTTTCTACTTTATGGCATATTAATTAATTTATAATTGTCCTTTTTTTTTTGAATGCTCCTCTTTTTGTGTATTTTGAGGAGATCAAGTATTTTTTTCCTAGATGCTTCTCTTTTTGTTACATATAAGTCTTCATTATGTATTTTTTTCTAAACACTCCTCTTTTTACATTAATTAATTTATAGTTGATTTTACTAATACATTTTTCCCTTTCTTTTTATTTTAACCATCACTTAGGAGCTGCCCAACCCAAAATTCTTAGGCACCTCATAAGATAGCAGGCTGCAAAAAAATGCAGCCCTTTCATATTTTGGGTAGGGCATCTTGTAGGGGCCTTGCTTAGCCCAACTTGCCCACTTGCAACTTTAATGCAATGTTACCATAAAAATTTTTAAAATGATACAATGCTTTTCTAAAGTAATGTTTGACTAATGTTGACTATTAGTTGAATAATTCTAAGGGTTTAGGGTCAAAAATGTTCCTAAAGTATACATGAAAGTCACAAATGATCCTAAACTCAACTATGGGTCATTTATTCCTTGAACCTCAAAATTTTTTTGCTTTATTACCCTACCATTAATTTGCCTAATAGTTCTTTTTGTGGGGCTTGTAATTTGCTAAACTAACATGCTTACATGTGGGTAGGAGAGAGAGAGAGCTAGTTCATCCATTTTGCAATGTAGAGAGAGACTAAAGAACACTATCACAACACAATACTCCTCTTTTGTCCTCTCTCCTTCAATGGTGTTTAGTCTAGCAATGGTCTGTTGTTGATAAGTTAAGTGGTGGTTCACGGTGTCACTACCTCCCTCTCCCTCCTTTATTCTATGATGACAAAACAAAGCACTTGTTGCAAACTGGTTTTCATCGAGTTTCCACTTAAAAACTCCATCTGCTTGAATGATTCAACCATGGACCTTTCCATGTACCAACATTGTAGAGGTCTAAAAGATGACGTTGCAACTTTTGGTGCCTTATTTTGTCTGGCTTTATTTAGTTTGTTTTTGTCTTTTATCATTTATAGGCACGGTCTTTTATACTTGTTTTTCTATATCCAAACTTAAACCCATAATCACACACACACAAAACATTACTAAAAGTCACATGGTACACACACTCTGTTTTGTTGATCAGACGGAGTCTTGAACGCATGGAGATTCAAACAAGTTCGCGAGCCAAGGTGCAAGAATGAATGAGGGTGCTTGGAGCCATGCATGAGAGGAACATAGTTTGGCGGCAAAGGAAGCAAAGTGAATGGAGTGGAAAAGAAAGCTTAAGTGGAAGAATGTAAGGAGGAGAGAGGGGGGAGACCATAAAAGGAGGAAATGGAGGAGAGAGAAGGAAGAGAAGATGGAGAGAGGGAATGGAAGAGAAGATGGAGAGAGGGAATGGAGGGGAGAGAGGTAAGAGAAGACTGACAGAGAGGGAATGGATGAAAAATTAGGAATGGATGAAGAAATGAAAGTGGAACCTATAGGTAACATCTTTTATTATAAAAAAAATATTAAAAAGTAAAAGCTGTGCATACATGACTTGCCAAATATGCAAAATCATGGATCCCATAAAGTCACAAATGGTCAAAATATATCAACTAAATGGTAGGGTAACGAAGCAAAAAAGAAAATTTAAGGTTGAAGGACATAAATGACTTGTAATTGAGTTTAGGGACAATTGTGAGCTTTCGTATACAATTCAGAGATAAAATTGACCCTTAACCCTAATTCTAAGGGTTAAATAATAATTTTGCCCTAAAAGTTTGTTAAATAAATAATTGATATTTTAAATTTTTTATTAGAGCAATCTTGCCCGTTGTAGAGGATGAGCTACAAGGGATATATGCCTTAAGGAAATTCCCATGGAGCAATAAATAGAATCAGTTGCTGACAACTTAAATATTGAATTAGGTGATAGAGTGGCCTTGTTACCACCATCCACAAACATTCAATCCAAGTCACTTCGACTCATCCCTTCCCCTTAAGCTACTCAATGTTGCCCATGGGCAAGTCTAGATAATTCTATATTTGCTCACAATTTACTCATGGGCATATATTTGGACTTGCTCATCATGGGTAAGATGAGGGTGAGTATAAACTATGCTCATGGGCAAGTCAATGAAATGCTTGGATAACATTGGTTTTACATCTAGTCAAACTCGAACAAAACCTCTTGTCAAAATCTAGATGAACCATTTTTTAACATTGATAACAAATTGTTGAATTCTATTTTTTGATTTGAACATTGATAACTCAAAAACTTTGAACTAATAGAAAGTTTATAATATAAATTATTCATTAAAAAAAACTTCTAGCATGAAAATTTAACATTAGTCATAATTGTTCAATTAATGGTCAACATGACTAAATGTCAATATAGAGCGACATTGCATTATTTTTTAAATTTTAAAAGTAATATTGTGTTAATAAAAGTTAAAAATATTAGTTTCACTTAGCAAAATAACTTTTGAAACTAATTTGTCCTTTAACCTTAAATACATTTTTAAATAAAAAAGACGCATAATCTTAAAAACAGCAAGACTGTTTTAAAAAAATACTTTGTTATAAATTTTATACATATAAAAAAATCAATAAAAAAACATATTTTTCCGTGCTCCCATAGTATTAAAAAAAAAATCAACAATCATGGCACGCGCGTTTCGCACATGGCAGTGGCATTCAACCCATGAGTGGATGGTTGGACTTTGAAAGGATACAATTCTAGAACCATTGAATAAAATCTGAATTTCTTATGCCGATATGATTGCCAGAGTGGACATCATTTCAGAACCATTGAATATAAAAAGCATCCATGGGCCCACTAAATGATAGCGCCCTGATATGAATTTAAACTCCCCATAAAAGGAAAAAAAAATCAACCATGTTTTTTTTTTTAATTTTTCATCCTGCTAGATATAGCTTTTTTTCCCCCTGCCTGAAAAAGTTATGTGACGAAAAAATAGAAAGATTTCCCTTGCATAAAATAAGTGTCGCATTTTTTTTTGGCGCAAAGACCAAGAAAAATATTGAAAGACATCAACGACTTGAAAATTTTAAACTACAGCTTTTAACTGGAAAGAGAATTAATGATAATTATTAATTAGATCAATCCCGACGATACCCACTTCAGACGAGGAAAATGCTGGGTGTTGAAGTTCAAGAAAATGTCAGAAAAAAGGACGGCTGATAGTGTTTTACTCGCATGAATCTGTGGGTCAAAATCGTGAACCTTGATCGACTCATCGAGCAATAGGCCTGTGATGGTCCCTCAACGCCAAATTTCTGCTCTTTGACTCTCTCTCTCTCTCTCTCTCTCTCTCTCTCTCGTGTTTTTGGCCAGATCTTTGACTTTCTCCCTCTCCCTCTCAAAGTGCCAGATCTTCGTCACTCACTCTTGTTCAACAAAAAAAGAAAACGTTATAAATCTGTCCGCTCAGTAAATAGGATACATTCCAGCATTACATGCATACATTTCACAATCACATGAAAACAACAAATAGAATGCTATTGGTGGTTGGGTTGATCAGCCAGAAATCCACTTTGTTATCTAGCTCCACAAGCAGAGCACTAGAGCAGAACATTTATCCCCCTTTCATTTTCCAATAAATTACTCCTATACGATGCTGAAAATCTTAGTATGCCTTTTACTGTTGCTTTCGTTAATGATTGGTTTTGATTAAAACAAGCATACACATCTCAATTTTTGTTTAAAGTTCCGTAGTGCTAAACTATCTTAGGAATCTTCTGTCAAAACAGAAAATAAATATCTAGGACATATGAAGCCCGCCCTTTTTGGCGATTTATGTAACTGAATTTAATGATTTATGTAACTGGAAATTGCACAATGAACAACCGACATAACTAGAGATTCGGTTGAATATTTCTGGTCCGCATGTAAGATAAAAATTGAGAAGGCAATTCTGCTAGAAGTGCTTGAACTACTGAAATCTGTCCATCTGCAACACAGAGAAGAGTAAGTTAAAGCTGATTCCCTCATTGGTTATAATTCGGACACTGATACCTACTTTGAACATCCCGAAATGGAACAAACTGGACTATATCCCGTGAAGCAACCCGTCCCGATAAACTTTCAAGCCTCTCCCCCTTGTCTGCATCCAAAACCTGCACCAAGAGAAGTTATATTCCAAGTACAATGTCAAGTAGCAGCATAGCATCCTCTAAACAAGAGTGTCTCGGACAAAAACATGTAATCATGCTGGAAAGAATACCTCCATGTCTTTGAAGTCGGCACCTCCTACTCCAACAATAAGGAGTGATAATGGCAGATCAGATGCTTTAATAAGAGCATCTTTTGTTTCTTGGAGATCTGTTACCACCCCATCCTAAAATGATATCGGAGAAACATGTATAAAACTAATATTAATGCTATTTTGCAATAAGGAATGACAACAGTAACCTTCAAAGGGAAAAACTAAATGGAATAAAGGATGATGTGTGTTTTAAATCTTACAGTGATTATCAATAAAACAAAGTACTTTCGTTTTCCATTTGTGACAGATTCGCTGGCAATAAGTGCAGCCTTGTTTATGACAGGCCCAAAAAGAGTTGGCCCTGCAAGAGTAACATTAAGTAGGGCACTTGTATATGCCATCATAATTCCTTGGATCCCATCCACCTGTGATATACAGACTTGCATGTTTATTAAAGAATTATTTCATAGTGGAAAGCTAGCAATAAAAAAGCAAGACCAGACTTCACAGCTCTACCTCGCAGTCATGGCTGCTTCCATTCAAATTAAAACAATGGGAGACGGGACCATCAATTGGTCGAGCGCCAAAGCCCCATGTGGGAAATCGTTTGTCTGAATCATAAAACTGTAACACCTCCCCAACCTCAGAGATAGCCTGGACAAGTCATTTATGGACACGGTTCAGCAACAAATGGAGTTGTAAAACATTTTGACATTAAAAATCACTTCTCACTCTCTGATATGCATTTGGCCGCCCTGAAGGATCCATATAATGTAAAGAATCGGGAAGGCGTGGGTTTCCATTTGAAGCTGGTAAGCAAAAAAGAAAGGTTAGCAGGGCTAGCATTTGTGGAACCCACAAATACTTCCTCAAAGAAGGCAGGAAACAGTCTGACCCCTCAACCTATCAAGCGCACTAGCGAAAACTGGACCTAAGCATTGAGTTAGGAGGACAAGTGCTGAACTATCAAGCCACTGGCTGGAGAGGTAAATTGGTTGAAGAGACCAAATGGTAAATAAGCTAGAAAAGATTACTAATTAACTTATATCGAATTTATAATTCCCATACTGCCAGAGGATTGACTTTGTGAAAGTGCAGTTCTATGCCGTAACTAGTAATTTTGTTGGAAAATTAATAGTGGCTAGATGAAGGGTGAAGAGAACAAAAATCAATTTGTCATTAAAATATTCCATAAATAGGGGTTGATAAATCAGTTTGCAAACAATAGCGAACACAGCAATTTAGCAACAACTGAAGTTTGAGAAAGTTGGTCACTTTATCAGGTACACACACTTACATGCGTGTACACAAACATGTATATGTAAATATCAATATTCACATATTTATATGATCAATTGACAGTTGTGTCAATGGGAATGGTCAGGATTCATTCTCCTCCCTCATAAATCAGCACAGTTCTCGCTAAACATGCCTCTATATTATATTAACTTCCATGAAGTCAATATCTTTACAAAAATATTTTGCACAAGCATTGAGGATATTGGCATGTAGCATACCTGTGAAATCAATTGCCACCATGAAGTTCAATTCAAATCCCCCTGCCAAGTAATCGAGAAAAGTATGCTGGACACTTTCAGTAAACTTGTCCACATATATTTGGCTCTTTAAGACCTGTGTTATAGCTAATTTGGTTTAGATGGGTTGAGAAATTCATCATGGAAGTGCACTTGATTAACAAAATTACCTCATTATGATTATCTTTTCCATCAGCAGCAGGTAAAAATAAATTTTCTCCATGACCATCAGAATGAAGCTTTTCCAACTGTATCAAGGATCTGTGCACTTTCCTTGAAAACAAGAAAAAATTACCCGAATAAGACGAGGGACAAAAAGGAGAAATAGGCTAAAAGAAACTCCCGATTACCCCATCAATTCATGCTTGCCATTGCTATTGAAGTCATAGCATTCTATAATTAATGGGCTGTCCTGTATAAAATAATAATGGAAAATGAGAAAGCTTATAAAATATCTATACAGAGAAGGCAATGTTTTTCAATAAAAAAGGGGGAAAAGAAAAAGAAAAGAAAAAAGCAGTACAATATGGATGCCATATTTATGGTAACAATAGATGCAAGCCTCACTGAATTGTTAACATTACAATATGTAAAAAACCAATATCACTGACAAAACAAAATGTGCTGACTCCAAGTCAACGCCAGTCAGAACTCTATCTAGTGATCCAGGCATTGATATATTGATATTATATACAAAATTATGACGGAAGGGTATTTTTAAATATACTGTGTTCCTTAATTAACTAATATATGTCCTATGTGTTGCACAGAGCTTGAGAAATGGGTTGCAATGTTCATAACTTTTGAATATGATGACTTGTTAGAGTTTTTAAATAATATATATATATATATATATATGTAAGATTCATGTATTGAAAATGTGCAGCTTGAACAAACAACCACCCATTCGAAACAATATTTGAAAATACAGGATATGGCATGGCTCTTTGCTTCAAAGGAAATGAAAACTAAACGTGTCCACATTAAAGTAGGCTGGCTATGCCAAGTGACAAAATTTTGATGCAAATCTATAGTTCTATACCTTGCTTCGTACTTGTTGAATATTCAAGAATACTGGTTTCCATATAGGGTTGTGGTCATTCTTTTTGACTTCTGTTTTGCATATAGGAATTTGGGTACCACCTTCCACAACTTTCGATATCACTAAAAAGGGATCCTACAAGACAAGCAAATGTATGCGTTATACCATAAATTCCATTCCTCATAAAGGCTACCCAAAAAAATGAAAATAAGCACATACACTTTTTGAGAAGAGATTCCTATATTCCAAATCTGAAGACCTGAATATCATCTCTATTGTAGTCTTTGAACTGATACATTCCTCAGCATTCACCATGAGTTTCCCACAGTTCTGAGAGTAGTTTGATCTAGTAGAATCTTCTATGAATAGATCCAAGGTCAATGACCAATCAGGTTTTGTAATTATCTGCACAGGTGAAATTGTTAATGGGGCAGACTCTGTATGATGTAAAGTGCAGCATTTATGCACGAGGTTCTTATTCTCAAGAAAACTTATATAATACACAGTAGTCATCAAAAACACTTTAACTCTGAAGTCTGGAAAATTTAAGCATTCTAATGCATCATTTATTGGGAAGGACCAAAGGAACAATTATAGGGTCAAGATAGCGATTAGTAAAAGATCAAAAAATAACTTCATTGCTGAGATTTTTCTCCGCACCTCTCACATTCATATTTCAAACTATGCATGATATAATGAGTTTTCTTTTAGTTGTCATATATTAATAAACAAAGACTTTGTAGATGGTCTCTATGTTACCTCGGATAATGCACAGGTTGCTTGACCAAGATATTGCTGCTCTTCTAGCTTAAGCATCTGCATAAGTCAAACATGTTATCACACCTAATGAACCAGCAAGGAATGTCCACATAGTAAAATATTATGTCACCATGGAAAGAAGGATATAGACAATCTCCTACAGGGATATATGTTTATCCACAATTGTTTGAACATATTTTTACCTCTCACTTCTAAATGACAAAGCTATAAATTAGAACCATATCTTAGTCAATACAGATTATTTTTATGCTAGCATGAGATCACAAAAAACATACCTTTACGTCTACATTGTGAAACTGGGTATCAATATCATAAATACAAAACCTGTGATGAAAAAGAATTCACTTATTAACTCTTGGAAAAACCAGAAAGGCTTATCTACTTCGTTAGTAATAGAAATATCATTCATTTACATTTAAACTTACACTAAAATCTGAACAACCTCAAAATGATAAAAGAGAGTCTGCTTAGTGATCCATGAGGGATTCAAAGAATTTAGGACTACTTCTGTGCGGCCCAGTTCCTCAAGTGCTCCATTTTTTCCTTTTGCATAAAGAACCATCATTGGATCACTCTACGGCAAACAAGAGTTAAATATAAAACATGCCAACTTTTCTTTCACGTGAATATTGATCGTATTAAAAATATAAACGATGATATTTTTCAGAGAAAAAAATAGAACAATGACAAAAAATATACAGTGGGTTCAAAGTCCAAAATTTTTGTGCAGAAAATATACGAGCATTAAGTGCTTGGCAGGTTGTAGTTTAACATCCTGGATGTACATGGTTATATGCACACCAAAAGAACAGACCAAGCATTAGCTAATTATGCTGCTATAAAACTGAAAATAACGATAAAAAACTAAGAAGCAGAATTGATTGAGCAGACATTTAAACTATAGAACCGGAGCCAAGCTCAATTTGAGCTGAAAGAAACTAAACTAAGTTTCGAGCATCAACAATTATGGTTAGATAACGGCTACATGGAAATAGATTTTACTAAGACAGCTTCAGAATCATGAAATGTTTAACAAACAAACCTTGGAGAGCACATCCCGGTCACGCAAGCCTGAAGCAGAAAAGGATAACTGCAGTACAAAAGAAGCCACTGTTACGCTTCGAAAAGCCCTTCCATAAAAAGTTAGTCAGGAATTGAAATTATGGCTCAGTAAGAGAAAGGGAAATGTCATAAGAAACTTGTTCCAAAACAAAGGATAAACCTCGATCTGAGAGTAGAGGCCATGATAGCCACGATACTTTAGGAAGTTATCAACAACATCGTTTGAAGCATCGGCGGGATTGAGGAGAGAGCCGGCGGTGCCGCCGATGGCCATACGTCCACCGGCAACGTCGGAGAAGCAGTTGCCCATTGAATTTCGGCGCAGGTGTTGACTGACTTCAGCAGGAGAGCGACCGACAAGCACCGGGAATTAGCTACTTTCGTTTTCTCATATGGATGCTTGATTGCGAAATTCCGTTGTGTGAGAATCAAGCATCATCGTAATTCAAAACAACTGTCATCCTAAATTTTTTTTCACACAAAAGTTATAAAATAATTCAAATTACAGTAAATTAAACTGTAATAATATTTTTCGTAAAATATTCTTAATTTAACTGTCTTAAGGACATTATTTGAAATAGATTGAGATATTATTAAAATTAAAATAATAAGAAAATAAACGTTATTTCTTAAAATGGTAAAGTGACAAATATTTGCAAAAGTAAAAATTAAGCAAAAAGGGTTCAAAGTAACAATTTATTTTAAATGAAGGGCAAAAATAACGGATGTAATTTTCTCTCTTTCTCGATTTTTACATGTCATTCTTAAACAGAGATTATGTTTTTTTTTTCCTGTATCATTTTAATTTTATCGAATGTTTCCGACAAGACTAATTTTCTTTCTTTCTCTAAACTAAAATTAATAGAATAAGAACCAAAAAAAGAAAGAAAAAAAAGTGGATGAGAGGGGGACTAAAGTTTGACGTCCTTGGGGGTGACCACCTGGGCAACATCATCACCTAATCTCCTACTTGTCCACAGTTATGATGGATCAATGCAGAACAAAAGTGAAAAGGTATGTCTCCCCTGTTCGGTACCCATAGCTGCAAAAACTAGCTCTTTCATATAATGAAGGTAGAGAGCACGTGAATTGTGGGACAACCGCTCGCTTCATTATCCATGGCCCCACAAAGACTGGAGAGACATAACCGGATGCATCCTGATAAACCCATGTGATGAACCCATGGGACTTTGATCCTCCTAATAACTTCTATCTGAAAGTGTGCACTGATTCACCAAGATTCAACTCAATTGTCCACCTTCATTTTATGTATCAAATTTCATAGACAAAAATATTTCAAGAGAATGATGTTATAGAAAGAAATGTGCATGTGGTCGCTAGAGAAGCATGATATTTAGAACATTTGTATAGGCCTCTGCATTTAACACATGACAACAGCAAACTTTAGATTTAAATTTTTACATCAAATTCACACTTTGTTCAGGAATGTAGGATAGACAATTCAATGCCTTGTTCACCAAAGAGTTTTAAGCAACCCAGCTTCACCTATTGCAAATCATCTGTCTCCCAAAAGAAAAAATATAAAATGCAAAAGCCATGTAAGGCGGTCCCACTTGAAAGAATGCCATTGTTCTAGTTAAAAAGTACTTCCCAAAATGCCAACTGCATCATTCCATGGTAAATAATCAGAACTACGTCCTCAACATCAGGGATCTAAACTTCGTTATGGATGAGAGGCAGAGGAGAAAGCTTCAGGTATGCATGCGTCCCCAATTTGACCAGAATGATATGGAACATTTGATAATGACGAAGCATGTGACTGCATAATAGGATTGGCATAGCCCATATTCAAAATGTAGGGATTAAAATTTGGTTGTGGATTTAGAACATGCACATGTTGAGGATCTGATATTGATTGAGCTTGACTGCTGCCCATATTAACCATTGACGAACGAAAATTAGACGGTGGATTCAGGATATATGCATGTTGAGGATCTGGCAGTGATTGAGCATAGCTGCCCCCCATGGAGGAAGAAAAGTAAGGTTGTGGGTTTAAGTTAATCTGATCTGCGTGCAGATAATTTTGCAACGATGGATCATGAATGTTGGCCGTATTCATCAAGAAGTGACACTCAGGTTGATGGTATTGGTATGGCATATTCTGATATGTACATTGAGGTTCTGGCACTAATTCACCAAAACTACCGCTATTCCCAGCTGAATAAGCATTCTGCAAAGCAAGAGGCCATGCAGGGAGATGAAGCTGGTTCTCTGAAGTTTGGTAGTGCATGGACAGTACCGGGGCTTTAGCTGGCATAATAATTTGCTTGTTGATCAATATTGGACGAAACAGCGACAATAGACTTTTTACCTGCACCACAACAACAAACTTCAACCATGTAAATACTAGTAAATATAAGAGTTTTTATTTAATGCTAAAAAAGATGAGAAAAAAATGGAATAATTGTAGTTAAATTGATTTGCGAGAGATTATAATGAAGCTTACTTGTCCGAGACTGAGTTCAGGACTAAATTTGCGACCATCTTTCTGGTAATTTTCTTGAATTGCGTGTTTAAAGCAGCTCTCTGGCAAGGGTAAACAGTCTTGATGAATCTTAAATCTTACCTGCACAAAATTCAATGGGAGGAAGGAGGCAGGTGGAAAAGGTGCGAAAAATTGTCATCAGATGTCATGAAGTTATGACGTCACAATCCAAACTTTGCAATTAGGAGCAGCATAGGATTAGACAATTTTGTTTTTGTTTTTGTTTTTGTTTTATATATATAAAGGCAATTACAGACAGAAAAGATCACAAAATAAAAGGTAAAAAGAAAAAGAGCCTTAATCCTGAGAGGATAGGAATAAAGCATTAGGCCGAAAAAAAGAAAAATTATTAGAAACAAAAACGCCTAAATAAAGAAAGGCCTGAGAAAGAGATTGAATATCTTGAACCAAGATTTTGGCTTTCCAAACATGTGCTACTATTAGATTAGACAATTTTGTTGGCCTCTCATAGAAAGCGCAATTTATGCTGCAAACGTCTGGCCATCTGGCTGATTCTGCCATAATTGCTTCAATCATCTACTACACCAGAAAATACATTTTTAATATGTGGTTCGGCATTTTCCCCGTAAGAAAATTGAGGACAAGTTCAGGTAGGTTTTCCCATATATATATAAACGGGCGGGTCTATACATGCGTCTGTGTGTGTGGTATGTGTAAGCAATGGTTAAGAGCTTCACCTGGGCTGGGAATTTTCCACCAAAAGCTGATTCTTCTATCCCTAGCTTCCCACTAGAGGTAGCTGTGTATATACCATAGAGAAGCTTTAAATCATAATCAAACAAGAAAAGGTGCACGCCAGGCTGTATTTTCTCTACAACTTCCTTTTTCCATTCAGGGAGCCCAAAAACTCTAAATTGATAGCACTCTGGCTTAGTTACATGATTGCACATGAATATAAAGCCAGAAAGTTCTTCCAGGTTGTTCAAGGCCTTTTCCTTTCCAAGCATTGAATCTCTGCATGCGTTAGCAACAGGGTCACAAATAGGGTGGGAAGAAATAAGAGAAAGCATATACTGTCAACAAGGAGGGAATCATGGGGGAAATTTTCCACTGACCTCTTATTTAAATCACAAAATGTCATTGACGTGAGCAAGGAAAAAAATAGAAGGAAATTGAATATCAAGAGAATATATATCAAAAATGAAATTAGGTCTAGAACCACACACAGATTATGCCGGATCCATTGGTCAGATTGTGCCAATTTCCTTTGTAGATTGAATTACTGACACATCCTCAAGAACTAATGGATAAATGACAAATTTTTTTTTTTTGTTGCAAGTTATTTGAAAAATAAGAAGCCAATTGCAGCCAATAAGCTAATTCACGTGATTTAGAACCCTTTCATCATAAAAAAGTAATTAATCAATCGACCAAGGTTTTTAACATTTCCCAACCGCAATATGAAATCCACAAAACAAGGACAAATGGGATGAACTTAAAATATGGCATCCAATCATATCTAACGCAAACTTATGAGTAGCTTAGCCATGAAAGCATATTTCTTATGGCAAACACCTTCATGCACGTTACCTTTGATTTACTCTGTCCTGGCTCCCAAGTAAGTCAAGCTGAAGATAACAACGGACTGAAAATAATCAGAACGATTAATGTGGAAGTCCATGTGTCATATGATGGCCCAGAAGTTCCAAGAAGCATAATGGATCCACCCAAACATAAATTTCAAAATGGGAGAGAAAAGAAAAACCCATGAAATGTGACTTTCGTAACAAAGACACAAACTAACGTAATCATTTCGCGTTCTTGAAATAATGAAGCAGTCACCAAAGCAAAGAATGTCACGATAAGTGATCAAGGGTTTCAGGCAGGCAAATAAAGAAGAATAGTTAAAATGGCATACTATAATGAAAAGTAAACGGTAACTTAGACTGAAAAGAAAGATTACCGGCGACGGCGAGGAAGCAACCTTAGGAATAATAAATTTGGAAGACGTTCACTGCGTGTGAACCCACTCAGACTTAGCGAACCGCGATTTTGCCTTCACAACTTTAAGAACTCGAGGCTGCCCCGCCAATTCCGACGCCGCGACTATCTTTTATTTTCCTTGGAAGGTTTTATTATTATTATTATTTTTTTAAGCGTTTGATTGCGGGTTTGGATTTTAGTTAGATAAATTTAATTAAAAAATTCATTAATATAATTAATTTTAATTATAATTAATTGTGTTATAATACGGTTATATTTAAATATTATTTTTTGAAATTAACTTTAATAAAATTGAAGGTATTTAGATTATTTAAATTAAAATCAATTTTAAAGGTGTAAATTGACATTGATTTTTAAATAAATCAAAATAACCAAATTTAAGTAAATTAAAAAAATAAAAATATAATTCTTAAATATTAAATATATACATATGGTGGGTACCACTGTGGAGATGGCAAGTACTCCAGGGGTTTTTACATATGATGGGTGCCAAAAAATTTAGGAATAAAATTGGCACAATCTGCAATTTTTGTCGAGTGATGGGAAGACGTGCTGTCCCTGTGAGGAAATTTTGTTGGGTGATGTTCATATTTGAAAATTTAACCATTTTGACAAAATAATAATGACGACAACAATTATAATTGAAAATTGAAAACTGATCCTATCATCTTATAGAGAAAGAGAATTTCTGAGGCATACTTGATTTGTTTTTAAAAAAATGCGTGTTTGGGTTTTTCCTTTCAAAACCATAATTTGGGTTGGCATGATTAATTATTTGAGATTATCCAAACAGACTCTAAATGCGTTTTCATTGCATTTTAATACAGCTAGCTTCATCAACAAAAATTATTATATTAAACTTTTAAATATTGACAAAGTATTTTAAAAGTTGACAAATTAAGTTTATTTTTTAAAATAACAATGATGATTTGTACAAAAAATATTATTTAAAATCAGAATTAGAGGAGTGAAAAGATTACATAAAGTTATAAGATTAAAAATATATTTTAATCTTTTTGTAATGAATGGTTTGAAATTGAAATATGAGAATTTGATGAAAAAAAAATTATTTTGTAAAAAATAACAGAAAAAATTGATCTACTAATCCTTATAGTTTTACTCATGAATTAAATCCTTATAATTTATTTTATTTTAATCAAATCCATTATAATTTGATTTATTATATAACTATGTTGGCCCCTAAAAGTTAAAATTAATCATAAATTATTAAATTTTACAAAATAAAAATATTTTTGGAGTTTACAGAAATTTGATTTTAAAGAGTTCAAATTCAACCTTTTCCCCAATTCTTCTTGGGTTGCTTCCCAACAGGCAAATCATGACTCACGCGGCAATAAATCAAGGATGACACTTGAAATCAAGATTTTATAATTAGATGTTTGTAATTTATTTTATTTTAATTAAATATTTTATAATTTGATCTATTATATACTATGTTAATCCATAAAATAAAATTAATAATTGTTCGTAAAAAATAATCAAAGCGTGGTGTCGCGAGACATGCCAAAGACGCTAGATCTCAAAAGAGTGTTGAGAACCCACGTTCTCTTATCACAGTTCACCCGGATGTGAGAACGCAAAGTAAAAATAATTAATGTAAATGTAGGAAAGTAAAGATACATTAATTAAAAAAAAAAGTGGTGGGCTCTCTCGACCATACAATAAAAAAATAAAGACTAAATTTACATGATAAAAAAAAAATAAAATAAAATAACAAACGTGGAATTTAAAATTGATAGTTTGTTGATGCTGATGATGCTATTGTTGAAAGAGGGCTCCTCTATTCATAGATAATTCTGGCTTGGTACCCAAGCCCCATAATCGTCAGTTTCTTTGAATTTAGAAAGCATTTCCCCTATCATAGTCACTCACCATGAGTAAAATGTGGATGGCCTTGACTTAATAGCTATGATTTTATAAATATTTTCTTTAATTATTTTAAAATTAATTAAATTGAGTTGAGCCTAAACCTCCAAATTAATAATTTGGGTGCAAACAATAATAAATAGTTAGATTTTATAAAATAAAAATACTCTTGTAGTTTATTTAAATTTAATTTTAAAAGAGTTTAAATTCTATCTTTCCCATGATTCTTCTTGGGTTGCTTCACAACTAACAAATCATGACTCATGTGGCAATAAATAAAAAATTGAATTCTTTTATCAAGGATGATACTTGAAATCAAGGTTTTAAAGCCGAACTAAATTGATTGGTTTAACTAGCTTGATCCAATCCAGTTAATGCAAGTGACAAAAATCAGAAAACTTGTTGGCAAACCAGGAAAACCAGAAAAACCAACTGGTGTGGCAAGCCAATAGGTTCAAACAATTATATCTGAAAATAAAAGAAGCCAGTGGGAGAGACAGAGAAAGAAAACAAAATGAGAAAATAAAAGAGATTCAAAAGAGGAAAAAATGAAGAAAATAAAATATTTTACAACAAACCATCACTCGCAGTATGCTTTTCTAGTTATGATACCACCAGATCTACCATCAAATTGTTAGATCCAAAAAAAAAAAAAAATCGAACTGTTGTAGCTTGTGAGACTTGCTGGGGCAGAGGAAAAATGGAGGAAGAAGAAGAAATAAGGAGAGATGGGAAGTGCAATGGCAAATGAAAAAGGGAGGAAGACAAAATGAGAAGCCAGAAGAGAGATGGAATGTGTGAACGTGTTAGGACCGTTTGGATTTTAATTGAATATAATTGATTATGAAAAAATTAATTAATATAATTAATTTTAATGTTATAATGTGATAATATTTAGATTTTTTTTCTAAAATTATTTTTTCCATAATTGAAAATATTGAATGATTTAGTCAAAATTATTTTAAACGTACAAACTACCACAAAGAGCATTGCTTTTTAAAATATAAATATTAATTTTAGCTATATAATATTATTAAATTTATTGAAATCTATTTAATAAATATAATATTATTAAATCTTAGGGTAAGAATTTACTTTACTCTTATTATTTATTTTCCATCCGTCTGAAGTAGAATGCACAAACGTTGGTAAGAAGAAGAAGAAGTAGAATACACAAACACTTTACAAGGAGCACTGCCTTTTGTAATATAAATATTGATAAATTTACATATAATATTATTAAATATCTTGAACTTTATTTAACAAATAATATTATATATATATATATATATAATAGTAATCATTTAATATTTATATAACAAGGGGAAGAAGACGCAGCACCTTGTGTTCTACGCCAGGAAGCTTTTGAGTGACGCAAGGCGGGTTTAGTTTAGTTCATGACCAGGTGTATACTTCTTTTATTTAAAAATATAAAATATTTTTTAAGATTAAATATTAAAAAATATAAAATATTTTTAATTTTTTGAGGTGTAATTATTATTATTTTTAAAGTATCCCTATTAATGAATGACTTTATATTTATTATAAAGTGTTTAATATGAGTAAATACGAAATGATAGAGTTAGTTTGAAAGTATATAACTACTTTATTAGAATGAGATTTAATTAAAAATATCTTAAATTTTTTAACGAAAAGAGTATTTGATAGTTTTACAATTCTGATGAAATAATAAAGGCTCAATAGCTAGAATTGAAAATTGAAAATAGAGTTTCCAGATTAAAATTGATTCATGTAAAAAAGGAGAGTGTTTGAATATTTTTTTGTCAAACCCATAATTTGGACTGACATAATTGATTATATCTAAGTTCATCTCAATAGGCACTTAGCCTTTTTTTTTTAAGATAAAGGAAGAGGACTTGGCCTAAGTGCTGAGCAAATTATTACTATCCAAAGCCATAAGTCTAGCAACAGATAAAAAGCGTAATGAATCTAAAAAGACTGGGCCATTTGTTCAAAGCTCGTTTGGTGAGGTGATCCGCAACACGGTTTCCTTCTCTATGCAAACTCTGCACTAAGACTTTGCATTCACATTTAATCATCAATTGGATCTCCTCAATGACATCTCTATCATGATGAGTGTGAACATCTTCACTGGTGATGAAGTTAATAGCTTCAAGAGAATCTTACTCTAGAATAATTTGTTTGTGGCCCGAGTCCTAAGTGATATTAAGTATCATCAAAATTGCCCACAATGCAATCATCAAACTATCATGTGTTTCAAACCCATATACAAAACCCTACAAACATCCCTACATGATCCCTAAGCACACCTCCACATTCTCTTAACCGCAACAGTTGCAATTGGGCACCGTTAACATTTAAGAGGACCCAACCCTCAATTGGAGGAGGTTTCCATCTTAAATGATTTTGAGTCTCTATTCTCCCCATGATATAATATTTAAAAGGCACTTAGCATTTTATCCCATGGACATTCATATCCATTAATTATCCTCTTTCTTTCCACGTCACATGTGTTAAAAAATAGAGAAAATTGCATAAAAGTTCAATAAAACATATTGATTTACAAATAAATATTATAAAATTTAAAAAACACAATTAAGTCTCTTGAAACTTGAGTGTGATTTGAAATTGGGGCAAAAAGACAACAACACCCTCATTAAACATATGCACACTATATCATTAAATAATTTACAATTATTTTATCAGTAATTTATAACTATAAATTTAATTATTTCCAACTGTAACTCCATATATCATATAATTAAACTAACCAGTTTAACTATTAAATGTGTAAAATTACATTTATAAAAAGTTAAAGTTATAGTTATAAATTATTGAAGAAATAGTTGTAAACAATTAATATTAAACTTTATTAATAATGTATGATTGTTTAATTATTGAATATGTGAAATTATAATCATAAAAAGTTGATTGACATAATGTAAATTTAATAGGACTATTATTGTCTTTATAACCTAATTTTAAATTATACTAAGGTTTCAAAGGACTTCCTTGTGACTTTTAAATTTTGTAAGACTTATATGTAAATAAGTGTGCTTCATAGAGCTTACACGTACTTTTTCCTAAAAAATAAATAATGGGGGAGCGGGAAGGGACTAGAAGAGAATTAAAAAAAAAAGGAGGAAAATATTAATTTTTTATTGATCAATGC